GCAATGAATTGTAAAGAAAGTGTTCACCAGAGCTGAACGGCACAAACACAGATCTGCGTGGTCTGGGAGTCCCCAACTGGGGAGCCAGCGTTTCCAGGTTCAGATTCAGCAAGAAATACGCTTCGGCAGGCTGGCCTGGTCATGTGCGGCTGTGTAGCTCTTCCAAAAAACCCTGCATCCCGAATCTAGAGGTCCCAAAAGTCTGCAGATGACTACCCGTGGGTCCCGGCTTGTTCCAGCCTCTGCAGCTGGAAGGAGGGCTTTTGCAAGTTGACTGCCAGTCACCAAAGAGGACGTGCCGCCTGTGAGACCTGTGCCAGCATGCCTGGCCAAGCACTCTGGAAGTGGTTTTAGCCATGAGTGTCCTTAATAGCATAGCTAATACCTGTTCACTGTAGCAACTCTGGGAAATACTTATAAAGTAATAATACAAACGTGTGTGGGTGTATCTCACCCATAAATCCTTCTCCCGTTGTTAACTACTGCATTTGGCCTTGCATAACACAGGTTTGAACTGCACAGGTCTACTTATTATGTAGGGTTTGGTTTTTTTGAGAAATATAGTACCTGTATTTTCATGGTACAGATGTGTAAATTAACTAGGTGTGGGGGAAAGTTTGTGTTCAACTGGGGATTCTTTTGCTATGTCAACACCCTGCCCTTGGGTGAGTCATTTAACAATTCCTTTGTTTTGGAGGCGGAGAGAGAGTCATGCTCAGATTTCCAGCTGCACAGACTGGGGAGGGCGGAGGGGCCCTGGCCCCCACGCCGTTCAAGGATCACCTGTATGAACAAACCGTGTGCCTCCTTCCAATTTCTGAGGGTTTATTTACATATGCATTTCTTCGTTCACTTTACATACAATAACACAACAAACTCTCATGGACCCACAACTAAGGTTGTTGGTCAGAACCTTTGGCGCTTCCCAAATGCATTTCTCTTGCTTTCCCCTCCAGATGTCACAACTGCCTTGGATTTTATATTCGTCAGCTCCTTGCTTTGCTTTACAGTTTGGCCACATACAAACACAATTTTCACCCTTAGTATAAGTGAAGCCCATTCTGCTCTTCATGGACTTCCCTTTTCTGGCCAATAGTCAGTTTTCTCTATTCAATCTCATTTGAATGGGTAACTAAAATTAAGTACTTCTCGCTTCTTGAGTAGCATTTTGTTTTACGAAGATACCAGTTCATTTTTCCATTCTATTAGGGGTGGACATTTGGGTTATTTCAAGCAACCCTGCTATGGAACTTGTGTACATCTGTTCTGGTTCATACACACAATAGCTTCTCCGCCGGACAGTTTCCAGACCAAAACGGCTGCTTCGAAAGATTTATGCCAACTGAGCAATGCCAAACTGTTTTCCAAAATGGGTATATTCTTCATGGCTGAGAGTTCCTGTTTCTCCATGTCCTAGACAACACTTGGTATTGTCAGAGTTTTGGGGTTTGTTTTTTTTTCAGTTTAGCTAATTTTGCTTTTGCTTTACATTTCCTGATTATTGTGATTAAGCGTATTTCCATCTGTTTATTGGCAGTGTTATTCCTAACCTGTAAAATGCCTATTCGTGTTGTTTGTTCATTTTTTAATCATGTTTATGGGTTTATAGGACTTTTTTATAGATCCAGTTCTCTCTCTCTATGTATCTATGCAACTAAGTATCTAAAACTATGCTTTCAAATCTGACTTCTTTTAATAAGAATAATAATCTACATTGCATAAAGCCTTATAGTTTCATAAATTGGACCAATTGCAAGGGTCTTAAGTCACAAATATTTTTATCTCATTTACTCTGATTTTATAAAGGACAAAACTATACCCCATATCAGACAAATAATGATTTATCACGTGGAAAAGAAACTCTCCACCATTGTCGTTATTCACTTTACTACTTGGGAGATTAGAATGATGAATTTTGCTTCTGGATAATTTTTTTTCATCATTACATTTCAGAGGGGGAAAAGAAGTTGAAAACAACCCCCCCTCCACAGTCACTTTTTAAACGTATCTCAGAGTCATATGCTCTCTAGGGCGCATTTTCCCCTCGTTTGGCTTAGGAGAACTGAGAAAAACATAAGCTGTGCCTGCGGCTGGATGCAGTATGGGTAAGTCCTGAAATTCACTCAGCATCTTTTAACTAAGCTCACGCTGACCACCGGGCAGAAGGGGCTTTCCCAGGATGGTCCATATCCTCTCCGTAGAGCACCTGTGTGCCGGGCACTAGACCCCGACAGTAAACGAGAAAGGCCACTGCATCCTAGCACCTGCCCTCCAGGACTTGCAGTTCAGTTAGAAAGACAAATACGTGGAAGAGTGAAAGATGTGAGTAACGCTGCTTGAAAGCAATGGGAGGCTGCCACGATTTTAATTGTTGGACTGAAACTCTTGATGATGGAGGATCAAAGGAAGAAATGTGTGCTCTGCTCTTGGCTCCACCTGAAGGTAAGCCTGTTTGCTCTGCATTTCCCTTTCCCCAAAACTCTGTTCCCACCAGGCCCCCTGCGTCAGATGCAGGGTGGCCTGGGTCATGCTTCTCCCATCACTTCCAGGCGCATGGTATGGTCTCGGTCGGCCCACCGTCCACTGGGGCCCTCCCCAGCTCTCTGCAGTGGATGAACAGAGGAGAGGTGCCCACCCTCTCTCAGAGACTTCCACTTTCACTCCGGCTCAGCACTCACAAGATTTAGAGGGAACTGGAAATGTCACTCACCAGAAAAAACACTGGGGCCCCTTCCTGGACCACATCATGGGTCAGTGTCTTCCTATTTCTCTAAGCAAGGGCTGCCCACCCCCTGAAGTTGCATCTTAATAAGAGCCTCCTGAAAATCGATCTAGACAATCAGTCATGAGGAAATACTTGGGTTCCAGTCCCAAGTGATCTTGTCATTCACACCCTTTCCGTGATGACCTACTCTAGTGGTTCTCAACTAGGAAAGATGTCTCTTCCCAGACATTCGGTAACGTCTAGAGATGTTTTTGGTTATCACAACTGGTGTTGGGAGGTGGGGTACTACCATCACCTAGTGGACGGAGGCTGAAGATGCTGCTAACATCCTGTAATGCACAGGGGGCCCCATCACTAAGGATTAACCGGCCCAGAATATCCATAGCGTCCAGGCTGAGAAACCCGGACCTACTCCTCATGAGCCCAGGCTGGAAGAACCACAGGGCATTGATTCCCTGACAGGACTCCTAGGCCTGTACATCTTCTTCCTAGATGTGAGCTTCTTTGGTTATTGTACAGCCACTTCCTACAGCCACACCTGGAGGCAGGTTGCCGGAGAGGGGACCAGAGGTCCCATGGCTGTAGCAGTCACAATCTGCCCTCAGAGGACTCGGCTTGTGATCTGAATTTAACATGACACTCATGAAAGGTGTTCTGTCTGCAGACCAGCCTCTTGGGGTGACAAACTTGTCAATGATGTGGGTAACAACGAGGGTTCCTCTACATTTTATTATGTGATTATGAGTTTTTCATGAAATAATGCTAAATAATATCATCTACTTGTAGTCAGTCATTCATTCAGGCAACACATATCTGTGGTGTGCCCATGAGGACCGAGTACCATGCTCTATGCTGGATGAATGGTAAGCAGCTCTCCGAGTCTGCTAACTTAGACCGCAGTCCCTATAGCGCGACTTCCTCACCAGGTGGGTGGAGGGCTGGGGGCTTATGAAACTGCAGGTGCCGGGGTCTCCCTCCGGAGAGTCTGACTTCACAAGCCAGGGTGATGCCCAGAAATCTGCATTTTTAACAAGCACTTGAGGTGACTCTGAGACAAGCTAACCATGGGATCATGGTTTGAGAAACGCTGGCAGAAACCATGAAATCGATCCCAGGCCTGAGAATATGAAGGCCGGCGCTCGCATGTGGTAATGTCCTATATCCCTGAAAAAAAGTCATTTGACCATTTCATCAATTAAGCATTTTGCCATTAATTGTCTCAGGTTTCCCTTTTGTAAACCGAAGGAGGGTAAGAGCTATTCAAACAGATGATGAGAGGGTAGAATGACCCCACATGAACAGAAGCAAGACACTTTCAGAGGAACAGAACGACAGAAGTTTTACTTGTGAAAACAAATTTGTATGACATACAACGGAATGAGCATTAGCCACGTACGCCGGTATCAACAGTAGCTCGGACGAAAATCTCTGCTTATGTAAGAGGTATCAACACTCCATACCCTCTGAACCGACCTCAGCCTGCGATGATTTCCGACTTGATTCGGGACCGCTAATCCTCCCCTGGTTACCAAGATAAATGGCTTCTCTGATTACTCTCAGTTCTGTTTCAAATCCTTTCTCAGACCTACATCATTGATACTCAGTTATTCGACTTTGCAATGGACCCCTTAGTTTAGTAGCACAGTAACCACTGTCAGAAGCCCAAGTCTAAACCTTGTTCCAAGCAAAACTTTCCCAAGTCATTAGAAACACCTTCACACTTCCCTTCCCTATGTCGAATATCAAGGAAGTTACCTCACTATTACAGGTATAATCATTTTCAGCCCAACAGCTCAACTATTACTGTGATCAATTGAAAAGAAACTCTGAGCAACAACTATAAAACAGATTAAAATCAGTGTATCAGCATCATCATTCGTGAGAAAAGGAATGGGTAAAAGGCCAGAATATCTCAGAAAACATGCCAGAGTCCCTTAAGATATTTAACCTAAAATGCATCTCTCTTTTTTTTTAAACTCGTCTGAGAATTCCCTTCCATTCTGTTCCTGATGAAAAGTATCTTCATTATATCTTCAAATGTCTCTATGATCCTGTCTTGTCCACATTGTTTACTTTTTGCTATAAGTAACATCCTTTCAGCCCTGAGTCCACAAATAGGGTCTGGAGACCCAGTGGGCTCACAAGACAGAACACCTTGCATTCACTTACAGATCAAGCACTTCCAAAGACTACGGTCGGCGCTCCTATCAAAACCACTCAAAAATGTGGATAAGTGTCCAAAGACTCGTTCCGTGATAAACAGAGAAAAACTCACAGTGCTTCATGTGATCTGTAGCTTTAGTCCATCCGAAGTACCCTGGATACCACACAGCAGGGAGCTCCATTCTGTGCCACCTCCCAGTAAAAGAGAGCCCCTCCCCCGGCGTTTGGGAACTTTGAACCAACATGTCAATTTGAATGCAGATTCGACCCCAAACCCAGCTTGGCCCCAGAGATCCATTTTTAAGTCGCAGAGCAACATGCAAATGGTGGGGACTCACGTAGAAGAACCACAAAGGCAACAGAAAGACATTGACCTTACCTATTTTGCTGGCCTCGCCCCGCAGGTTGAAATCCCAGTTTCTTGGCAGCTTCAGGGACATTTTGCTTCTGGTTCCGGTGAGTTAGCTACAGGAGCGAGGAGTCGGTCACAGTTCGCGCCCTTCTTGGTCTTTTGATCTCCTCGCCTCCCGAGCTTGTGTGTGTGTATGTGTGTGTGTGTTTTCCCCTTTCTGATTGCTTCACAAGCAATCTTGGGTTTGAGCTTGATCTGCTGGCGTATCTTCTCCTTTCTCGCAGATGAAAGGTCCATCCATCTGTCACTGGGGATCGCGCCCAAATCCTCCCATGGTCCCCTGGGGGGCTGGCGCCTCTTGAACCATGCCCCCTGCTTTTCTTGCTTTCAGTCTTACCAGAAATATCCCAGCTGACACTTCGCTCTGCGTCATGGGAAGCAGAGCTCCTGTTCGAGAGAATCTCAGGCCTCACTGAGGTGAGGTCGTGATAAACAACGACTGCCTCTTGGCTTTTTTTTTTTAACTGTCTGCTTCCTTGCATTTGAGGAAGTGGGTGGCTATTCAGTGCAGATGAGACATTATGAGCTCTTTCTTGAGAAAATGCTTTTTTGGAAGTGCTTGTATAGGAGAGTGGGTGCTCTTGTGATATAAGCCTATAGCTTTGAATAAAAGAGAAAAGAAAATTCCAAGGCTTCGGCCATACACCTCTAATCTCCCTTCTCGCTGAATGGATCAGGCTTCCAAAAATGGTCAGTCAAACAGCATCCCTCAAAGTTGCCTTCTTTTAATTCTTCCTGCTCTAAGGCTCACATGGTAAGTTGTGCACCTGCTCAGGATAACGGCTTCACGTGATCTCAGCCTGACGTCAGGAGGATTCTGATGTCCTGAGCTAGTAAGGCAGCTTTCACTGCGTAGAGCCACTCACGTGTTATGATGGTTCTCTGGCCTTGTGAACAGGACGTGGGCTTGGAGCCAAAACTCAATTCTTCCATTTCGTAGCTCTGCAGCTGTTAACGAGCAACTGAACTCTCTAGGCCTCAGTCTCCTCGGCAGTGAAATGGGTGGATAATAGCCATGATTGCAGAGTTGTGAAGGCATCCAATACAGAGCTTGGCACCTAGTGGTTGTACCACAAACATTCATTCAACCCTTATTCCATTTAGTTCGGCTCTGTGACAGGCTTCCGTGTGTTCCGCTGGCCTCAGGGCCAGCCTGCCTGTGTTCAAACCCTGGCCCTACCACCTTTTCGCTGCGTGACTTTGGACAAGTTTCTTTTTTAAAATTTTTTAAAAATTGAAGCGTAGTTGATTTGCAATGTTAGTTTCAGGTGTATATCAAAACAATTCAGTCACACATATACCTACATATATATTTTTTCTTTTCAGATTCTTTTCCATTATAGGTTATTACAAGATGATGAATTCCCTGTGCTTTACAGTAGGTCCATGCTATTTATCTATTTTATATACAGTAGTGTGTATCTGTTAATCCCCAACTCCTAATTTATTCCTCCCCGGCCCTTTCCCCTTTGGTAACCATAGCTTATTTTTCATGTCCGTGTATCTGGTTTGGGTTTGTAAATAGAATTTGAATCATTTTTTTAGATTCCACATATAAGTGATATCATATGATATTTGTCTTTCTCTGTCTAACTTACTTCACTTAGTATGATGATCTCCAGGTCCATCCATGTTGCTGCAAAGGACATTATTTCATTCTTTTCTGTGGCTGAGTAATATTTCGTTGGGTATATATACCGCATCTTTCTCCAGTCATCTGTCAATGGATTTTAGGTTGTTTCCATGTCTTGGCTATTGTAAATAGTGCTGCTATGAACATGGGGTTGCATGTGTCTTTCTCAAATGGTAGTTTTCTCCAGGCATGTGCCCAGGAGTAGGATTTCTGGATCAGATGGTAAGTCTATTTTTAGTTTTCTAAGGAACCTCCATACTGTCCTCCATAGTGGCTGCCTCAATTTACATTCCTACCAACAGTGTAGGAGGATGCTCAAGTTTCTTGACTGCCCTGTGTTTTAATATCCTGATCCATAAATGAGGCAAATAATAGGCCCTACTTTAGAGGGCTGTCATGAAGCTTAATAAAGATTGTAAGTAATGAGGCTATAAGGTAATGAGGCCAGTAAGAAAGTTGGTAAGAGTGCTCACAAGAGTCACTGCTGGCTGGCATACAAGCTGCCCATCCTTGGTCCATTCACCCTTCAACTCTCCTGGATGACTCTGTCATACTTTCTTCTTTGCCTCCCACGTGCTCACTCTGTTGATGACCTGGCTTCCTGTTTCATGGAGAAAGTCGATGCAACTGCAGGAGAGTGTCTGCAAGCTCCCACCGCTGCCTCTGCTCACCTCCGCGCATGTAACACACAACCTTCTCCCAGTTACAGTGAATGAACCATGTCATCACTCCTCCATCTTTACTGCAGCCTCCGTGTCTTCCCTCTCCTGGATCATTCCCACAAGAACTCAGACTTACTATTTTTTATCCCATAATTAAAAAAAAAATCTCTCTTGATGCCACTTCCTCCTTTGGCTACAGCTCCATCTCTCTCTTTCATTTTTCTGAGCCAAGCTTTCATAAGAATTACCTACACTTGCAAATGCCCATCCTGTAATTCTCTCCCAAGTCTCTTCTGTTGATGTTTTTGCTGCCATGACCCCACTGAATATATTCTTATCGAGGACATTGACAGCATTCCTGTCACGAAACGCACTGGTTAATTATGCATCTCCTCTAACGTTGGACACATTTGATTACTTTCTCCAACTTCAAACCCTGTCTCCTCTTGGCTCTCAGGACCCCCTCACTGGCCTGACTGTTTACCTGCCTTCCTGTCCCACCTCCATTTCCTCGCTGATTCTGTGTCTCCCTGACCTCTAAACACTGGAGGAAACCGGGACTCTCTCAGTGGACCTCTTTTCTATCGATACCCACACCTTGGTGAGCTCAGCTGTCTCAAGGCTTTCAATGCCATGCATCTGCCGATCCCTCCAGTGGAGATTTCTAGCCCAGACTGTCCCCTGAACCCCAAGTCATACATATCTCTGCTTATATAACAAATAGCCACCTCAAACTAAATACGGCCAAAACTTATAATCAGAGGACCAGGCTGTGGGAGCAGTGGTGCCCTGGGGCATATTCTTCTCATTGTGAGCGAGAAGGGCATTAGAGAGAAGAACCACACAAGTATATTTAAAGCCTCTGCTCTTATTTTATCCGCTCCCACTCCAGTGGCCAACACATACCACGTGACCACGTCCAAAGTCAGCGAGACAGGAAGTACACACAACCCTGAGGGGGAGGGGGAAGGGAGAAGGGAGTGAATGTTTGCTGAGCAAGACAGATACTAACTACTATATAAAAAAATAGATGAACAACCGGGTCCTACTGTATAGCACAGGGAACTATATTCAATATCTTGTAATGAAAAGGAATAGGGAAAGGATATATATATACACACACACACATATGTATGAGTCACTATGCTGTACACCAGAAATTAACACAACACTGTAAACTGACCATGCTTTAAGAGAAAAAAGAAAATTATAAAATAAAAACCTGATTCATCATAGGCTCAAAAAAAAAAAAAAGACTCCAGCCCATCACACCAACCCAATTTGCCTGGCCATCCTCCAACTTCCCCAAGGGGTGCTGGATTCCTCTGAACTTGACTCAGCCAATTGAAGACTTTGGAGCCCCCATTCTGCATTTCTGCCTGCCCAACCCAAACGGACAACTCTTTTTTCTCTCCTGACTTGGGGGCAAGGGGTGTGTAGCCATCTCGGGCCCCAACCCAGCAGCATCTCTTGACATTATCCAAAGTTTCAGTTCTGGGACCTTTACTCAAGAACTCTGAAAAGATCTTGAAGGTAGCCTTTATCAACATACAGAGAACTTCCTTTACTCTTTAGAGTAGGTTCCTGTAAGTCTTGGAAAAACTCATGACTGATGGGGAAGTTGCTTGTGAATACTTGGAAAGGCAGTCAGAAGAAAAGCACCCCTGGAAAGGCCCAGCACAGCTGCCTTCCCCCCGAAGAGCTGCTCGGGGGCAGCCAGCAGCTTGGGAAGGGGCAGCGTCACTGCAGGGCTGCTCCCCTCTTCCTGAGCTTCAGAAATTGAAGAACTGGATGTCTGCTCTGGTTCCAGAGTTTGAATCAGCATCTTCCATGGCAAAAGGAAAAGCAAAAATTCACTTGTCTATTTGCTTATTGAATGCTAACCGTTTATGGAGTAGGGACTTAATTTCTTTACTGGACATTGGAGGGAGGTTCCTGAACAAGCTGACTTTGTTTCCATCCCCATTCAACTTACAGGCTGTTGAAACAGCACAGTTAAGTAACCGATCAAATACGACACAAGAAGGGGGCTGCTGGGAGAAGTTTGGGGAGCTATGGGACTTTATATCGGAGGGGACTAACTGGGACGTGGAGGGGGGTGACGGAAGGCTTTCTGGAGGAAGTGTCTCTTAAATTAAGGATTCATGAGTGAATTAAGGAAGGAAAAGGATTGGAAAAACTTTCCAGATGAAACAAGCAATCTGCAAGAGGCACAGAGCCACGAAAGAACTCACCAGGTTGCTCCTGAAAAAGATGTTGTGGGAGGGTATGGAGGAGAGTTAAAGCTGGAGAGAGAGATGAGGGCTGGATCAGGGCTGGGTCCCTGGGAAGCCTTGGTAAAGCATTTTGACTTTACCCTGGAGGAATCAGAAGCCATTGAGGGGTTTTTCTTGGGCTTGGGATGAGGCTGTGACAGGCATCCAGGTAAGAGTAGGGGAGAGGTCAGCCACAGTGCTCCGGGGAAGAAGGCACACAATGCAAGAACCACTGGCTAGTAGGATTGATGGCCCCGGGGAGCTGTTATGCAAGGAAAAGATACTCTTGGTCCTGGACCTAGTCCTTGC